CCGCCGCAGCTCCCAGGCCTTGTCCAGGCTCTCCAGTTGTCGGGCCAGCAGGACGTTGCGAAGCATCTTCAGGGCGTCAGCCACAATGCCCACGTACTCCCGGGCCGACAGCAGCTTGGGGGCAGTGGGTGCCCGCACTGGGGGGAAGCCCAAGGGGACCTCCTCACGGGCGCTGGTGAAGGCAGGGTGCCGGGCCAGACTGTCCTGCGGTGCCGCGTCGTCATAGAAGCCCAATACCAGTGTGTTGGGGCGCATCCCGCCTGCCGGAGAGACCGCACCAGCATGGCTGAGCAGAGGTGGAGGGCCCCACCAGCCCTCCTGGCACTGCAGACGCCAACAAGCCCCAGCTTGGCTTTGGCATTGCTCACTCTGGTGATTCCAGAACCCTCAGCATCAGCCACCTGGGTGCCTCCAAGACACAGCTTGGCCTTGGCATTGCCCACTCAACACCTCTCCAAGCTACAACTTGACTTTGGCACTGCCCACACCAGGTGCTTCCAAACCCCTTGGCATTGCCCATCCAGGTGTCTTCAAACCCCTTGACACTGCTCACCTTACGAGCACAGTGCTGTGGACCCCCAGCCATGCCCAGCCCGGGCGCCACTCACCGAGGCCGGAGGTGAAGAGGAGCTGCCGGACGCCGTGCCGCACCGAGGGTGCCAGGGTGAGGCTGACGAAGGCCTTGACATTCAGCTTGTCCACCAAGCTCAGCCACGAGTCCTGCTGGGGCTGCAGTGGGTCCGAGGGCAGCGTGTCTGGGTGGGGGGTGAGAACGGCATGAGGGAGGGGGTCAGGTATCCCATACCAGGGAGTTGCCCTGATATCCCCACAGAAACCCCCCTGCAAAACCAGTACCAACCCCCACACCCACCCCAGCACCCATGAGACGGAGAGGGTGGAAGCAGGTGCTTCCAGCCAGAGATATGAAATTATACATTAATACATAAAAAATACACAGGCAGCCCCATCCCCCCCTCCCCAATTTCAGGCCATTAGTCACCACGGCAACGGTGGGGGGAGCAGAGCCCGTGCATCCGCTGCGGGCGGGGATGGGGATGGCCATGGCGTGTGCCAGGGAGCACGCGTGTGCAAACCAGCACGCACCAGGTCGCAAACACACCTGAAGCACATGGATGCATAGCAGCAGGCATGAGGTGAGGAAGGACACGGGCACACGTACGTGCAAGGCTGTGCCCAGTGTGCACGCTGGGTGGGAACAGCGTTGACCTGTGCAACAGGACCATGCTGCACAGGGACCCAGAGGAGCCTGGGTGGCATGTGCCATGTGTGCGCACCAGCACCGACACGTGCAGGAGCCACACATGCACATGTAGGGATGAATACTTGAGAAGACACATGTGCAAGCCTGCAGCACACGTGTGCAAGCATGTGTGCACAGGAAGCATGGGACAGACACAACCCACCGATGTCCCCCATACCAAGGTGGCACACATGTGCCCAAGTGCTGACAGTCCCCCACTGTGCCCACCCTTCCCAGCTGCGAGCTGGGCAGTGGCATCACCCCAAGGACTCCGGGAGCCCCCCAGCACCGCAGCAAGGGGCAGAGGCCACCAGCGCCAGGGGCAGTGCAGACCCTCACCCAAGTCTTGCAGCTCGACGTGGCCCAGGACGTAGAGGCCACTCTTCTTGAGGTCATTGACAAAGTCAATGAGGCGGGTGCTGCCCCGTGGGTTCTGCACCATCAGCAGCATCTGTGGGCGCCAGAACTTCACGTGGTCCTTCCGCACATCCAGCATCAGCAGGTATTTCCGCACCTGGAGGGAGGGAGGGAGAGAGGGCAACAGGTAAGGAACCCTCCTTCCTTCAACAAACCACCAGCCCCACGGATACGCTGCCCAGGATAGAGCTGCCACAGGGACACCATCCTGGGGACACCACCTCTCCACCCCATGAGAGGACAGCAGGAGAGGACAGCAGAAGAGGACAGGGCTTACCTGGTGGAAGATGAGGGCCTGGCTGATGTAGCCCCAGGTGCTGCTGGGTGAGAGATAGTGGAGAGCGAGGAGGAGGAGGAGGAGGAAGCCCAGGCTCGCCGAGGCCGACACAGGGCTTATGAGGAACATCATGACACAACAGCCCGCAATGCCCAGCAGACACGTGTGCCAGGTGAAGTACCGGAAGGTGGGCCTGCAGCAGGGAGAAGGGGACATCCGCTACCATGTGGCCCCCGTGTCAGCTGCAGGGCAGGCACGGCAAGGGGGTCAAGGTGCCACCCAGCCACCCCCAGTGAACCCTGCTGTGCCAGCCCAGGAGATGTTGAGCACCCCAGATGCCTTCAGGAGAAGGCACAGAGGGGAGATGGTACCTCCCAGGGCACCGGGCAGCCCCTTTCTGCCAGCCCCTGGCAAACAGAGGTAATGATGGTTAACGGGGCTGGGGCTGCCTTGGCATGGCCAAGGGGACAGGTAGTGTCAGGCAGCGCCGGCAGCCACGGTGCCTGCTCAGCCTGGCACTGGGAGGCGGAGGCGGGGAGGCGAGAAGCTGTTATTTTTTCTAATTGTTGTTTTTCCTGAAAGGTAATTAAAATCCTTTTCCGCTGCGCTTGATGGAGACCTCAACATGGTGAGGGAGCACAGATGTGGGGTGGGCGAAAGGACCATCACCACCCACCCCAGCAGCCTCCCCCTAGGCCAAGGGAGCGGGGGGGGGAGGGGCAAGACCCAGCCTGGCACAGACACCAGCTCTCCCTTGAGAATGGGGCGCTCTGGGGGGGTCATTCACCCCCCCACAGCAGAGCCACCCAGCCCTGCCTCTGGGGGACTCCCTGCTTCAGAGGCACAGCACCCTGCACTGAGGGCAGCAAGCATCACCCAGGAGGGAGACAAGGCTCCCCCCAGCCACCCTACCGTGATCCTCCAGATTTGAGCAGCCCTGCCAGGCCAGCCCCATGCCAGGGTACCCCCCCGCCCCAGGCTGGGGCTGCCTGCCACACACACTCCTCCTTACTGGAAGATTTTTTTCTCCTCCCCACACCCAGGATCCCACTCCCTCCCTCCCCCTTCCCTATTAGTTTAATTAGTGCTAATGGAAAGTGGGCTCCATCACCGCTTGGCAAGCTGCCTGGGGATGCCGGGTGCACATTGGCTATAAATTACCTCCGGAAAGCCTAAGGGAGAGGGTGGGTGGTATCTGGTGGCGCTGGATTTACCTGTACCCACTCAGCAAAGCAGTACTAGGACGTGAGGAACCTGTCCCCTTCTCCCTCCCCAGGGATGGGGGTGTCTCTGCTTCCCTTAACGCCCAGGAGTGGGGTGCTCAGCCTCTCTGCCCCACAGTGGGGCAGCAGGCACAGCGATGGCAGGGAAACGGCAGACAGATGGGCGAACGGGTGCCTGACTGGCATCTCAGCACAGCCTCCCTGCCCTGTGCCAGCAGGTACCTGAAGTTGGGGGCTGATGCCCACTCCAGTGCCAGGCAAGCCAGGTTGACAGTGGCATAAACCAGGAGGAAGAAGGTAGTCACGACCCCCGCGATGGTGTTGAGCTTCCCGGAGAAGAGCACCAGCTGTAGAAAGCATGAGGAGGCACAGGGTGAATGCATGCCCCAGGATGGCACCCCTGGCATGTGCCCGAGCCACCCCTGCTGAGCTTGGGGCATGCCACGGCAGCGTGCCAGGAACGGGTACAGGCAGTGCCATGTAGCATGAATCCCTGCCCCTTGCTGCAATTTATCCTTCATTTATGGGCTCAGGGAGGGATGGGCAGAGCCACAGCAGGACATCCAGGGTAGGTGCGGGTACCCAGGGGCAGGGGGACGTGCCTAGCTCCATGAATCCCAGCCCAGGTGCCAACCCATCTTCACCCAGCAGGGCTGATAAAGGAGCATCACCAGTAAACTCACCTGCACCACCAGCCAGGAGAGGATCACTGCCATCACAGGGTTCCCATTGGCAGACGTCTTCTTGGCCAGCACCAGTGCCCGGCCTGTGGGCAGAGCAGGGAGGTTGGGCTGGGACACCCAGCAGGCACCAACACACTCGGCCACCAGCCAGGAGTCCTGTCCCCAGTCTGAGTGCTGGGGTGAGGGCAAACGCCAGGGCATGCAGGTGACCCAAGTGGGCACGTGTCAATGCACAAAACATGATCCCACACCAGGAAGGGGCTTTCCTGGTGCCAGGGATGGTCCTTGGCAGGGACAACCTGCTGGGTGAGCTCCGGTGGGTGCCAGCACGCTCTGGGCACTCACCGAAGAGATCATCCCGTGCCAGGGCATAGAGGATGCGGGATGCCCCAATGAGGTTGCTCATGGCCGCAGAGAGGGTGGCAGCGTAGATGCCCACGGTGACCAGGGGAGGGAAGATACTGATGTCACGCAGGAAGCCGTAGTCTTTCTGCAGAAGGGTCCTGGAGAGGGACACACACACTCTGGCACACACCTCAGCTCAGGCAAGCATGCTCTGGCACCAGGCATACCCTGGCAACAACGGCCCCGGCAAGGGGACGTGTGGCCATACCTGTTGCAGGTGGCACACATGAGGAAGGCCAGCAGGTTGTAGACAAGGTAGGTGAAGAGCACGGCAGAGATTGTGCCTCGTGGGATGGAGTAGCTCGGGCGCTTCAGGTCCCCTGCAGGCAGGAGCAGGCAGCATTAGTGCCCACAGGCACAGCACCCCCCTGCCCTCCTCCAGCCTCAGCTTCCACTCTTGGTGCCACCCAGCCCGGCACACCCTGCCCGTACCTGACATGTTGGAGCCTGCCATGATGCCGGTGCAGCCATTGAACATTACTGCAAAGACAGAGCTGAAGCTCATCATCTGCCCGGTGGTGTAGTCTACGCCATACCCACCTGCAGGACACAGGGGCACAGGCTGTGATGGGCTCTCCAGCGTGGCACAGCCCCACCATATACCCTCTCCTCAACATCCCCATACACAAACCACAAGAGAAACTACCCCATGGCACCTGTTTTGTGCCTACAAGCTCCCCCCACCCTCTGGTGAGCCCCTGCTGATGTGGAGGTACCAGTGCCACAGTGGATACAGAGGGCAGGGTGGGGAGAGCCGCTCCTCACCCCTCAGGTTGTCTCGCAGGGTGGCAAGCGAGAAGCCTGTGAAGGAGCCATTCTCGGTCTCAGAGCCGTTGAAGTGGGGCAGGCGGATAGGCACCCTGATGGGCTGCATGGCAAAGAAGCTGACAAGGACGGTGCCCAGCACGCCTGCGACGATGAGGAAGATGAGGAAGGTGGCCTTGGCATAGATGGAGGCACCCACGAGGCACACAAGGAGGCAGAGGGCCAGCAGCACAGTGCCATAGAGCAGCTCGTACCAGTAGCTCTGGGGCAGGACATGGACGCCCATGCCCTCTTTTTGCCCTGGGAAGAGACAAGCAAGGATCAGTGGGGCTCAGAGCGGGCATCACCAGGAGCTGAGAGCCACCAGCATCGTGCCAGCCATGACAGACATCAATTCACTGGCCAGAGGGCTTGGCACGACGCTT